TTTTTTTTTTTTTTTTTTTTGTCCAGTTAATTTTTTTTTTTGATTTAAATAATAAATTCTTGGTTGATTTGCACTGAAATATATTGCTATATGTTAACTCGCAGTTATTGGTGTATAGAGTTCTTGAAAAGTTGTTGCCTGATTCAAATTCTGATGCTCATGCTAGCATGTCTTTGGAGCGGAGGTGCTTTGTGGATTTGAAACACTACTTGACACATAACCCAGACTGTGCAAAGTAAGTTTGATCAATACTTCTATTAGTTTCTTGAACCCTAGCCATATATTTTCACCACTTATTGTTCTTTTATAATGCAAATTGCTATTCTGAAGCCCTATGGGTTTTTCCTGTGTGCCTGTGAGTTGTTACAAAGCTCTAAGTATACATTTGAGTGTCGTCGTTCATGTTTGTTGTCCTTAATAATCTCTTTGAAATTTTCCATGTTGCACAATTGGGTGAACAAGTAAACTGGACCCGAGCATAATTAATAATGTTTTGAATTGAAAGCTTGATGTTAACAATGTGGCTTACTTCTGTGGTTCTTAAGATTGTTTGAAGCCATATCAATTCATTTTTTTTTTTTTTTTATTATCTTCATGACAAAGGTTGCAGGTGTGCCAATGTTTTTGAGATTGTTTGCTGTTGTGTAATCTTTCATCAATCATTGATGCAGGTTAAGATCTTCCATGAGTTGTTATCTTGATGCTTTCGATCCACTAAAGTCTGCATCACCTGTTGGAATATTTTGTAATAAGGTCAAGGTGAGTAATGATCAGCTAATTCTTTTCTTTTTCCCCTAGAGTTATTTAGATAGATATATTTAAATTCTATACAGTTAACTAATATGATCAGAAAGTTGTTTGACATAAACATTTTTCGATGTCTTATTATGTGTATTCATGTTTTAGAACTTAGCATGTATATTCATAGTTTATAGACTTACTATGTATATTCCGAAATGAAAGCTTGAATATTGTGGCAGATAAGATAAAATTTATATTTGTTTTCAAATACAACGACTTTCTTAATCACTGTGGCAGATAAGATAAAATTTAGATTTGTGTTCATATACGACTTTCTTAGTCAAAACCCAGGAGCTTCCATATACACTTCCACCTCCAACTTTCCATTTAAAATATCATTTTTAATGTCAAGTTATGGTAACCCCAGATTAACAGCAGGGAAGATGAGAATTCTAACAACAAATCCCCCGTGCACTATCACGAAAAATTGGCTTTCACAATAAAATAAATAAAGTGAGTGCCCTCGGAAATGTATTGATTCCCATCTCTGCATATGGCCATTTTCATAAAATCGATAGTGTCTAACAACCAAAATTTGGCAACTATCAGACACAAGTGAATCGTCTGTCTTGCATTTCAAGTTTATCACCCTTTGAATGCACTCATAAAACAACTTGGCTTTTCATCTTCATCGCTCAACCCATTCCCAAGTTCCTTTCTATTGAGGGGTCGCGTGCTAATTTCTTCGTCTTTCTCTTTTTCTTTAAAGTGGTTGTTCCTGGAAAACGCTAGTTCTTTTGTTGCTTACTTATTTCTAAAGCTTCATACATTTGAAATGTTGATAGGAGCTTGAATTTGAGTGCGTTCCAACCACATTCATGGAGCGGGTTATTGATTTTCTAAATGTAAGTAGCTAGCAACTTCGTTTTACGGTTTCCCTTCTGTTAGGCTTTCTCATTTAGTCCCTTGCAGGACACAAGGGAGAATCTTCGAAGTTCGATTGCTAGAGATGCAGCTGTGCTCGAGAATGAGAGCATTCAAGTCGATGGTGGTCTTAAGTGTAGTGAAATATTGAACTCGGATGAACATGCTGATATCCAACATGAAAAACAATTTTTATACGACTTTCAAAGAAAAATTAATTTCTCCAAGAATGAGATGCAGGACTCCGACGTAGCAGTTTCCATGGACATGAAAACATCATACTGTTCACTTTTGGGTATGTAAACTTTGATGCCCATTTTTTTTTGCCTTGCTTTTTTGGTACCCTATGACTTCTCAATATGCGAGATTCCTAGTGTATAAAAATAATTACCAGTAGATAAAAGAAGTTACGAACTAAATTTTAAATCAGCAAACATTCAACGATCAAAACTGCATGGCAACCATATATAAGGCACTTAGCCCTTTATCGACGATGTATCCAGTATCCTACAAGGCTACACCTTTTCATGAAATATGATCATTGATTAGTTAGGTGCTTATTTTGTTTGTATTTAGAGGATAATTTGCGATCTCTTTTGTACGTTGATGAAAGCTTTCGTAATCCCAAATGAGCTACTACTACTATCTCCAATGGTTTTAGGTTGGAACTTCACTTAAATGGCTAATGGTCCCCCTCTTGTACTTAATACGCATCATGTGATCAAACTATCACATTGTCTCTAACCACACTGATTAAAGTCATGTGGGTTGCCATAAACTAAGACATCAGGGTGCAGTCTTGAGACATCTAAAGTACCATATTCAACTGGAGGTTTCACTTATGCAGATGTAGCAGAATCTAATATTCAGTGGTATAGTTGAGTTACTCCGTTTATTGGAGGAAACTTTGTATCCTTCCAATGGCAGAAACTCACACTTGTTGTAAGATCTGTGGTTGAATCTATAGCAGTTGACTTTTGAGCTAATCTGGCTAAAAGTTCTTCTGGGAAGCTGGTTTTAACACTCTTCCCTTTAGAGAATTATTATGTGAATCAAGTAACTATCTGCTCTTTCGTGATTGAACCAGACATATAGAGATTAGTTCCCTTCACTCATGAGAAACTAATGAAGTGAAAAAACTTCATATATGTCAGAAACCAGCTTGTATCTTGATGTATAATGACAGAGTGGAGGCTTGACCTGATACATTTACTCATCTACTCAATATTATGAGGGTCTCAAGTGAAATAGAAAGATTTATGTACTCGATATTGTGAAGGTCTCAACCAAAATCGTTAGCTAGCGCCTAGCATGCGGGGGCATTTGATATGTATGTTCAGAGGGATGTTAAAAGAGAATCAACAATGTAAGTTAAACAAAGTAGATCAACGTGTTGGAGATCTTGGTGAATGATTGTCATTTTTCATTATGTGTAATGTGTCTAATAAGAATCCTCCTTTTTATGAAGGCAAGCCGCCGTTGATCAGCCCTGGGCTTATTCCCTTAACTCTTAGTAGGAAAATTAAGTGTGCATTTTGCTAGCTCAAAAGTATCAACGCTTTTAACATTTTGTTATCTAACTCATTAGAGACGAGATAATTCAATTTCAATGGTCTCAAAGTAGGTTGCTTGCATCTAAAGTATCAGGGTTTCCATTTATCGCTTTCCAAAATTTTTTGGGCTCTAAACTAATAAAAAACAGGTGCTGTGACCTTCCTGCTGCTAGCATCAAAGTTGTTGCATAATCATTGTGCTTTATTCATCTCTGCACTTGGGTAACAATACATCTTTTTCTGCCGTTGATCTATCTCCTAGTTTAGTTATTCGGTCATAAAGATTTGATGTAAGGTCTGCATTAAATTTGCATCAGCGACTCCTCTTGGTTATCTCTAAATTTGCTGCTAGGCTGAAAGTGGTGCTGAGTACCTAAAATAGTTTTTAGCAGCTAGAGTTTCTAAAAAGAAAGTTCTCATTGTAATCTAAGCATCATGATGCACTGACTGATGAAACAATTCGCATTTACAGCTTCTTTTTGTCATTCACCATTGTATGTTAGGGATAAATGCTCCATACTGATTAAATATCATAGCTGCAACCTTAAAATAAAGCATATAATGATTTTTTTTCTCCAATTGCAGATAACATGGAAAATGAAGATCAACTTGTTGATCGGTTGCTGCATATCAGGGGAACGGTTGTTGAGAAGTTAAAGTCAGACAGACAAGAAATTGTCCTGCTAGCATCACTGGTTGATCGAATACCTAATCTAGCTGGGTTGGCACGGACATGCGAGGTGTCATGCACATGCCTTCTGTATTTTGTCTGCATCCATATGAATTTGACATTTTAACTTTGACTCTTCTAAGCTTTTGCAGCTTGACTCAGAAAGTCCGTTATATGTCCAATTAGAGATATATGTCTAATTACATGTTAACCTTTGGCAGATATTTAGAGCAGCTGGACTCGCTATTGCGGACAAAAATACAGTAAATGACAAGCAATTCCAACTTATCAGGTTATGAGGACTCAGTCTCATTAGTCATTACTATCTCAAGAGACAAATAGCTTTTCTTGGTAGTGACGAATAATTATTGAGTTTCATGAAAAGAACAAAATTCAGAGGGTTATTTGTACTTTTAAAGAGAACTGATATTTTTCTGTAAGTTTCCTAAAATTTGGTGATGTATTTTGTATCTAAGCATAAATGTTATGATAATACTTTTTGGTTCTGTTCGATATAGCAACTGACTCACCTTTGTTTTATCAGTATAACCGCAGAGAAGTGGGTTCCTATTTTGGAAGTCCCCGTGGTGAGTATGAAAACATTCTTGGAGAAGAAGAAGCAAGAGGGTTTTGCTCTGCTGGGTCTGGAGCAAACTGCAAATAGTTTCCCACTACACCAATACAAGTTTCCTAGGAAATCGGTAAGTTATAGTCACATCAGGCATGACAAACGAATGCCGTGGGGTTGATTTTTTAATATATTATGTTATTAAAACAAATCGTTCGAGGTGCTCATGGTTGACATGCAAAATTTAGGATTCAGTTGTATGCTAAGATTGACTTGATCTGTGGTGGGATTTCCCACGCACAGTGCTATCAGTAGGGGGAGGCCCTGAACACAAGGATTGCATTAGTTCAACTTAGTTTAAATACTCTTTATTTTATTGTACCCTTTGAGTTTAGAGAATTGTGTTTGCGGATAGATTCTTGTTTAGCAAGTTATAGCTTTTACTTGAACCGGATATTATACCTGTAATTACATCATTATGCTCGACATATTAGCCATATGTTTATGCTTTATTAATCTATATAGATTTATTCAAATAGTTATATTATATCTTAATTTACATTGCCCTCATGACCTCAGTGAGCAATTTTTGAGCACATTGTTTTCTTCTGATTTGGCTCTAGTAGGGGTGAGGTAGGGTAACTGTGAGATAGCAATTCCAGACTATCTATGATAACAGTTAGTTGAACATTGTTTTCGTGAAAAAAAAAAAAAAAAAAAAGGTGATCTGGTGTCCTTTTTCTTGCAGGTATTAGTTCTTGGCCACGAAAAGGGAGGTATACCTGTGGAGATAATCCACATGTTGGATGCGTGTGTCGAAATTCCACAGTTGGGAATCGTTCGGTCTCTAAATGTTCACGTCAGTGCTTCTATAGCACTGTGGGAGTACACGAGG